CTAAGCTGCCTCTGAAAAGATGAGTTAAAAGGTAATTCAGTGTAAACAGAACATGGAAGCATGAGTCACAGATTTAGTTACAAGGAACAGAAGCCTCCTCTGGGGCAGGAAGGGAATTGATTGAGAGGACTCGGGATCACTCACAGATTCCCAGAAGTGATTAGAGAGTCAGGATCGGAAAGTGATCGAGAGAACACGACGGGCAGCTGGCCGCCAACCATAACCCAGCCACGATCACACCACAGAACGTGTCTGAAGGGGATACGCTGGGGCCTCAGTGACCACTAGATGTTGGTCATCTCTCTGCCTCTGCCACCCCAGAATAGGCTAGCTGTTGCCTGGAACAAATCACACCGAAACTTTTTTTTTAATATAATTTTATTTATTTATTTAGGGCCGCGCTGGGTCTTCATTGCTTCGCGCAGGCTTTCTCTATTTGTGGCGAGCGGGGGCTACTCTTCATTGCAGTGCACGGGCTTCTCATTGCAGTGTCTTCTCTTGTTGTGGACGAAGGGCACTCGGCACACAGTCTTCAGTACTTGTGCAGCACGTGGCCTCAGGAGTTGTGGCTCGTGGGATCCAGAGCACAGGCTCAATAGCTGTGGCCTAGGGGCTTAGTTGCCCCGAGGCATGTGGAATGTTCCAGGACCAGGGATCCAACCTATGTTCCTTGCACTGGCAGGCAGATTCTTATCCACTGCGCCACCAGGCAAATCCAACACAGAAACTTATTTGTGTGCAACAGTAAGGGTTTTGGGTGGTTCTGGCTCAGGGTGCGATTGAGTGGTGCTTGGAGCAGGGCAGCTGGGGACTGGACAGACATCCCTCTGCTGTCTAAGACCCCTCCACGTGGTCTCCACGCTTGCTAGTTTGGGCTTCTCCACAGCATGTCTGCCTCAAGGTAGTCAGAGTGCTTATATGGTGGCTGAAGTCTTCACAGAAGATATTCCAGTGACGCAGGAAGAAGTTACATGGTTTTTTCTACCTAATCTTGGAACTCATGAATGAAGTATTCTTTTTTGTTTGGTCAAGCTGCATCTATGTTGTGGTATATGGGCTTTCTCTAGTTTCAGTGCTAGGGCTTAGTTTCCCCTCGGCATGTGGGATCTTAGTTCCATGACCAAGGATCAATCCTATGTCCCCTGCATTGGAAAGCAGATTCTTAGCCACTGGACCACCAGGGAAGTCCCCAGTTCTGCCACATTCTAATGGTTAGAGGCGCAGATTTAAAAGGAGGGGATGTGTTTAATAGATAGACCCTCACCTCTCAAGAGAAAGATGGTCAAGCTCAGCTTATAGGAGAGCATGTGGGGTGAGAGCTATCATCACAGCCATCTTTGTAAAGTAGCACCTGTCCATCTGCCGTCAAGGGGATAGATTAGCCAGTCTTGGTTTGTTTGGCATTAGCACCTGATTCCAAGGTAGAGTGGCATTCACCAGGCTTAGCTCATCTGAGCTACACCGGAGGCAGGAAAGAAATATCTGTTTGGTTTCAGCAAAGGGTAACAGGCTTTCGGATGGCAAGGGTTTTTTTTTTTTTAATGTGCGATGAGGTTGTGTGCATGCTAAATCGCTTCAGTCGTGTCCGACTCTTTGCAACCCTATGGACTGTAGCCCATCAGGCTCCTCTGTCCATGGGGATTCTCCAGACAAGAATACTGGAGTGGGTTGCCATGCCCTCCTCCAAGGGATCTTCTCAATCCAGGGATTGAACCCACATCTCTTACGTCTTCTGCATTGGCAGGCAAGTTCTTTGCCACTAGCACCACCTGGGAAGCCCTGAAGGGGCTGCTAGCTAACCCCCCTCCACAAAAGTCCATTGTAATCCACCCCTTTGAATGTTCAGCATCAGTAGGTATCCTTCGCTTTAGACTTATATTCTCTTCCCCACAGAGTTCTTTTTTTAATACTTTTTATTTATTATTTTGGCTGTGCCAGGCCTTAGTTGCAGCATGTGAACTCTTAAGTTATGGCATATGGGATCTAGTTCCCTGACCGGGGATCGAACCTCGGCCCCCTGCATTGGGAGTTCAGAGTCTTAGCCACTGGACCACCAGAGAAGTCTCCAACCCCAAAAGTTCTTATCAAAGCTCTCCTTGCACAATTAAGTCTTGTACAAATAAAAATATATCATGCTGGCCCCCAAGACAACACAAACTCTCAGTAGTTACATTTTCCAGATGCAAGTCTAGAATCATGGGGGAGTAGACATTCCCCCTCCAAATACATCATGACTCCCCTGTATTACACAATCTGTGAACTAGTTTCAGAGTAACTGGCCCACGCTGTGGGTTTCTCCAGTGGCTCAGCGGTAAAGAATCTGGCTGGGTTCGATCCCTGGGTCGGGAAGATCCCCTGGAGGAGGAAATGGCAACTCACTCCAGTATTCTTGCCTGGGAAATCCCATGGACAGAGGAGCCTGGCAGGCTACAGAGTCGGAAGTGACTGAGCACGCAACACACATCCCACACTGTATTTAAGATAATAGGATAAAGGTATAGAAATACGGGGCTTGTTACTTAAAATGTCTAAGTAGTTACACATGAGACAGCAATGGAATTAGAAAGTTCATTGATTGCAGGCATAGTCAGTTCCTTACCCCAAGCACCGTTCTAGACACTGGGGATACAGTGGTGAACTAAAGTTCCCATTCTCCTGGAGCTTCTGTTTTGTGCAAAACAATAAAAAATAAATATGTGGCAGCGATAAGTGCTGCGGAGGAAAAATGTAGCGAGATAAAGGGCTGGGTTAACTGCTGCATCAGAAAGGATGGTTAAGGGAAGCTCTGTGATAAGATGGTGCAGTAGAGATTTGAAGCAAGACAGGGAGGGAGAGATGGCAGGAAAGAATGTCCCACGAGAGGGAAGAGCAAGAGCAAAGGTCCTGAGGCTGGAACAAGCCTGGCGATGGAGGAAGAGCATGGAGGCAAAGAGATCAATGTGGCAGGAAGAGAGCTAGCGAGGCGGGGCAGAGAAGAGGAAGATGAGGCCGGGGAGGCAATGAGGACCAGATCCAGGACATTGCGCACCATGGAAAGGACTTCAGCTTTTACTCAGAAGGAGAAGACCTGAGCAGAAGGGTGACAGGAGCTGACTCACATTTTAATGGGATACTTCCGGCTGTTTTGTGGAAGTAAATTGTAGGGGGCAAAGACAGATATTTCAGTACTAGTTGGTGCAAGTCCTCTAGGAAATGGCCCTGGTATTTATGACTTCCCTCCTTCATACACACTCCATACACCCCCACGTTTATGAACCAGAACCAGAACCCCAGCTGGTTGGATTCTTCAGGAAGGAGGAAGGGGGCTGTTGAGGAAAGGGTATACCTAGCAGTCTAAGCAGAAGGTGTATGAGCCAGGGTCAGGGGAGCTGGGGAGTGGGTGCCTCGGGTCCCTGTGTGGAAGCTTGTGCCAGGGAGCTCTTTTGTCCACTCGCGAGTTTGCAGGTGTTTGGGCGATGATGCAGTATGGGTGGGGTTTGCATATGAGCCTGTGTGCTCCTGCATTTGAGCCTTGCAAACCTTCCCTGAGTGTTTTCTCCATGTCTTGCCTGGGCTGGACAGTACTAGGGACACAGTGGTGACCACACGAGCCCTGGGCCTTCCCTTACCGGCTCACGGTCCAGTGGGGGAGACAGACTTATCCCCAGACAGAGATGACCCAGAATGGGCAGGGCTGGGTGGGGGAGCCCAGAGGTGGGCACTTGACTCAGCCTAGGAGAGCAGGGAGGGCTTCCTGGAGAAGGGGAGCTAACACTAAAAGGTCACCTCTCCCAACTAGAACAATCACGCTCCTGTATGGACATAGTAGCCTTGACTAGTCTGACCAGTAACCCCCGCACTGACCTGTAATCTAAGATGTCCCTGGACCAGTGGTCCCCCTTCTGCCCATCCACCCCCCACATCTGATCAGAGGCCTGGGGAAAGTCTCCCAGCATGACCAGCTGCCCCTTACTAGCCAGTGTTGAGAGCTAGCTTCTCCCGGGTAACCAGTGAAATCTCACCCCACCCCCACCCCCCCAGCCAGCATCTAGGAATTTTGTCCCAGCCAGGCCTGCCTTGTAAGGAGCTGTGGGCACTCTGATCTGTGACCCCAAGTCTGACCTGTGACCTTTCCTTGTGACCCAAGGCAGGACTCCTCCTTTTTCCCCCTCAGGTGCCTGGGCCTCCTCCCCGCCCCCACTCACCTGTCAGCCCCGATTCTCTTCCCCTCCCCCCAAAGTTGGAAGGGAGGAAAGGGAAGAGAAAGGGAGGAAGGGGGGTGGCATTCCTAGGATTCCCTGGAAGGGGGGAAGAGAGGGAGGGCCCTAGGGAGGAGAGCTAAGAGAAGAGCACCCCACAGCCCCCGCCCCCGCCAGCATCTCAGAGGCCTGGGCAGAGCTGGGTGTTGAGGACCATTAGACATTAGAACCATTAGACATTAGACATTAGAACTATTAGACATTAGAACCGGGTGGGTTCCAGGCCACTGGTCAGACAGGAAAGCAGCCCAGCGCACTGGCCACTGGGGAGGTGGGGGATTGCTGGTTGGATTGGGAGAGGCCGGTGCAGGCCACTGGTTGGACCCGGGCCAGCAGGTCGAAAACGACGAGGGGAGCCCAGGTCACTGGCCGGGGTGAGAACGGGTCCCGCCGGTGAGAGTGAGGCGGAGAGGGTCCGCGGTGGTCCAGGGAGGACCCCCTTGTGGACACCGGCCGAACTGGTTGGTCAGGTCACCCGCCAGGGGCGCTGGTCAGTCGGAGCCTGACACCCTGGGGCCTGGGGGCGGGGAGCCTAGCTCCCGGCTGAGCGCTGGGAGGTCGGCTCCGGGCAGTGGGAGGTCCTGGCCTGGCGCCCGGGTTTGGAGGGGGGGACGAGGGGGAGACCGAGAGGGCGGGGCGGGGCGGGGCTGCCTGGGGCGGGGCCTCCTCGCTCCAGCCCTGCGGCCGCGGAGCCCCAGCCCGGGCTCAGTCTCTGCCCCTGCCGTCCGCCGCTCCTCGCCCGCTGCCGCCGCCGCCTTGAACATGGAGCCCCCGGACGCGCGGGCTGGGGCGCGCAGGGCCCCGCAGTTGCTGGTGCTCGCGCTCCTGCTGGCGGCGCAGCCAGGTATGGCTCGGGCTGAGAGCAGAGCGCGCCTGGGGGGCGCGGGGAGGGGAGGGGCGGTGGGGACAGGCTTTCACCAACCCCAGGGACCCCAGGAAAGGAGGGATATGGGGTGCCCCTCCCAGTGAGAGACCTAGCGACAGCCAGGCAGAGGGCTGGGGATCTTCAGCTGTGTATTAGAAGCGATCTGAGAAGTCGTGGGACCCAGGAGTGCGGGCGCTCCGCTCCCTGCCCCCTCAGACGCTGAGATCTGCCCCCGCTCTCACCCCCGCCTGGACCCTACTCCCCCGGACCCAGAGGTCCTGGCCTCCAGTGGCCCGGAGTGCCTTTTCCCCGGGGACAGAAGAGACCAAAGTGGAGCTCCCCGCTCAAAAGTTGTCAAGTTTTGAGAGGGTCAGGGACCCTCTGGCTAGAAACCAGCAAGTCACATGCGGTTGCGGGTTCCCCCCATTCAGATTCGGAGCCCAGACTCTAAAGGACCCGCCCCTCTCGCCTCCCGCTCCATCAGAAAAGGCTGGAGCCCAGTCCCTGGGCAGTGACAGCAGAACCAAGTGTTTCTAAGTGACAGAGCCCCCCTTCCCCGGGGCCCAGATAAAGCCACGCACCTGCGTCGTGGTTGGAGGAGACGTAGAGGCCCTCGGGGGCTGGGGGAAGAGAGAACTGGGGGAGAGAGAGATCTCTCCGACCGGCCTTGCTGCCTCTACTGCTCAGACCCAGCCCTGGGCACCAGCCTGGCCCCACACTCCCTCCCATGGGGCAGGCCCCGGGCCAGAGGTGGGTGCCTGGGAATCCAGGGCCCTGGCACAAGCTTGGCGACCAGTGGGTCCCCAGGGGCAGAGCTGGGCCAGGCTGGGCGGGGAAGGGAAGGGAGATTGTAAGAACTGAGAGCTCAGGCCAGGATGCCAGCCCAGAGACCGAAAGAGCTCGCTTTCCTGATGCGAACACCTCTACCTGCCCGGATCCTGGGATGGGAGTCCCGGCCCTCCGCTCCCTTCACCCTCAGGACCCGGATCTGGGGTCTCCATCCCGTCCTGCTCTGAGGCAGGCTCTGCTGCTCTACCAGAGAGTTAGAGGGGCCGAGGGGCAGGTGGGGGGCTCGGGCAGGTCTGAGCCAGCCTGTCCCTCCCACATTCCTGAGACCTGCCCAGCCCTGTCCCCCCTCACCGCACCCACACACCCATCCCGCCTCAGCTCCGGCCCAGCCCCAGCCCCCCGCCCCTGACAGAGAGCCCCGGGGGGCAGGGCCGGGCCACACGGAGATTGAGAGGAGCACAGAGAACCGTGAAACTAAGAGACGGAGATGCAGGGTGAGGGGCACGCGCACACACACACACGCACACACGCACACACGCAGAGGCGTGACTGAGATGGAGATGATTATCCACCTTGTTGCGCCAGGCCCCAGGTGAAGTGCTGGAGGCTAAGGAATGAGCACACCGAGGCCCTGCCCTCGAGGGGCATTGGGTCCAGTGGGACAAGCAAGGACACACAGGATTTGAGCCCAAGAAGATTGTTTGGAGGCCACCAAGGACCCTGTGTGGCCCAGGGGAGGAGTCTTCAGTTCTGCAAGTGAACGGAGAGATGGAGAGACATGCTGATGGGTTCTGAAGCTCAGAGATGCAGAAATAAGAGATGGGGGGAGAGAGGAGCTGAGTCTGAGGGAGCAGGGGCTGGGGGCCTGGATCAGGAGGGGCTGGGGGCCTGGATCCCCGGTCTGAGAGAGGAGGACTGGGGACCTGGAGAGTTCTGCCTCCTAGTGGCAGTGGGAGAGAGCTCAGTTGCCCTCCCGCAGGTTCCAAGGCTGAGGTCCGCCTGTCTGTGCCCCCCCTGGTGGAGGTGATGAGGGGGGAGTCTGTCACTCTGGACTGCAGCCCCTTGGGGACCCATGACTATTTCATGCTGGAATGGTTCCTGGTGAGTGCTGTGGGCTGGGAGCGAGGGCATGACAGAGGGGGGCCTGAGAGTCAGGGCGCAGTGGGGCTGCAAACCTTCATCCCCTCATCTGAGCCCGAAAGCCCCTAGGAACCCCACCAAGCTGCCTTTCCATTTTACAGGTGGGGAAGTGGAGGCCCAGCAAGGGGAAGCCCCTCTCCAGGGTACCCTGATGTCCAGGCACAGCTGAGGCTAGAATGGAAGCAGTCCCCTGGCTCTTGAAAGAGGACATTCAGAGGCAGACACCCAGAAGGCAGGAGCCCGGGGATGGGACTAAAGAGAAGGAGAAACAGGAGACCCAGGGCAGGAAAGGGAGACAGAGGTGGGAACACAGTGAGAGGGCGAAAGAGGGAACCAGAGAGGGGAAAAGGTGACCGCAGACAGGCAGCAGGGGTGGGAGAGCTGGAGAGAGGGCAGAGGGACCAGAGAGAGAGCGAGAACTTGAGACGAGGAGACCCACGGAGCGGCAGAGAAAGGGGACACAGAGGAGGGCCCGCGGCCAGGCAGCCTCTCGCTGAGACGCTCCCCTGACCGCAGGTCGACCGCTCCGAGGTCCGCCACCTCCTAGCCTCCGCCGAGCTGCGTGGCTCCGAGCTCCGGGACAAAGTGCTCAACTCCCGGGGCCGCAGCCCCCCATACCAGCTGGACTCCCGGGGGCGCCTGGTGCTGCCTGAGGCCCAGGTGGCCGATGAGCGCGACTACGTGTGCGTGGTGAAGGCGGGGGCAGCGGGCACCGCCGAAGCCACCGCCAGGCTCAACGTGTATGGTGAGTATCTGTGCCTCCCTTCTGACCACCCCCCCCCACAACACACACACATCCTGGGAAGGGGCAGGGAGGTGAGAACCCCGGGAAGCAGCTCCTGACTGTAAGTTACTCCCACAGTGAAACCAGAGGCTCCGGAGGTCTCCTCCTACAAAGGAACCCTGACTGTGATGAGTGACTTTGCCGAGGAGGTACCTTGGGCCGCACCTTGCTTCCAGGGTTCTGAGGGGAGGAGGGGGTCCTGGGCTCCTACAGCCCAAGGTCGGGAGAGGCTGGGGGCTCAGGCTTCCCAGTCCGAGGAGTAGGGGTCCGGGAGTTCCGACCTTGGGTCTCCCGGGAGGAGAGGGTTGGGAGCTGGACTCGTGTGTCTGGGTCTGGTCTGGACCACCCCCCACCCCCAGGGAGGGGGACCCAGACTCCAGGGTCCTGGCTCCCAGCCCAGTGAGGGCCCGTGTCTGTCCCAGATAGCCACCTGCACCAGCCGCAACGGGAACCCAGTGCCCCAGATCATATGGTATCGGAATGGGCAGTCCCTGGCCGTGCCGCTGGAGGTGAACTCTGGTGAGTGGCGCCTGAGGGAGCGCGGCTAGACCTCAGGGGCTGGGGCTGGGGCTGGGGCTGGTCGGTGGCCGGGCTGGCTGACCGCCTCCCCCGCCGCCCTCTCTCGCAGAGGGCTACGTGACCATCCGCACTGTCCGGGAGGCCTCCGGCCTGCTTTCCTTTAGCAGCACCCTTTACCTGCGGCTCCACAAGCCTGACGGGGAGGCCAGCTTCCACTGCTCCGCACACTACTACCTGCCCGCTGGCCAGCACGGCCGCCTGGACAGTCCTTCCTTCTCCCTCAACCTGCACTGTGAGTCCGAGCCAGCCCCCCGGCCACCCCCACCTGGACCTCTCCTGCCGAGGCCTGACCCTCCACGGTGACCCCGTGAGCTGCCCCACCCTTTCCAGGCCTTCTGCTCCCTTAACTCTGGCTGGAGTGGGTACTGGCCTCTGACCTCTAACCCCATCCTGACTTCTGACTCCCCCCATAACACCCTGAACCCCGTGGAGTCTCAGGACTAACCGTTGTGCCCCATGCTTCCACCCCGAAACGGGTCCCCCCGAATCTCACACTGACCTGTCACCCACACTGTAGCAGAGGAAAGGACTAACGTTGCCAAAGGTTAGGGGTCATTTGGTTTTTTTTGGGGGGGGCGCCACGCCATGAGGCATGTGGGATCGTAGTTCCCTGACCAGGGATCGACCCCGCGCCCCCTGCACTGGAAGTGTGGAGTCACCCCCTCCACAACCCTGCCTCCAACCCTTTCTATGGTGCCTGTCCTGGTCTAGATGTCCCCGGCCCCTCCAGGCTCCCATACAAAGCAGCCAGAGAGCCCTTCCCAAGGTGCGCACTGACCTGTCCTCTCCACCTCTGAGCTCGGGTCCCTGACCTCAGAACAAGTGCAAACTTGAGCCTCAAAAGCTATGACCTCTAGGGAGCTTCCCTGGTTAAGACTCCACACTTCCAAAGCCGGGGGTGTGGGTTCAATCCCAAGTCAAGGAACTAAGATCCCACATGCCTCATGGCATGGCAAAAATAAAGAGAAAAAAGATATTACCTCTCACCTTGGGCCAAACATAGCCCTTTCCTTTGCTGCAGTGCTGGCCTCTCCCCCTTAACCTAGCCCTGCCTTTTACCCTTGACCCTGATGGTGAGTCTACCCTTTGCCTTAGATCCCACAGAGCACGTGCTCTTCTGGTTGGGCAGCCAGTCCACTGCTGAGGGCTGGGTCCGCGAGGGTGACTCTGTCCAGCTGTTGTGCCGAGGGGACGGCAGTCCCAGCCCGGAGTACACGTTTTTCCGGCTTCAGGTAACCCACCCCCTCATTCCCCTGACTTCTGCGATCTACTCATCTGTACCAACTTCTGACCCTTCACCTGGGTGACCCCTGGCTTAGCAAGGCACGTGATCAATGACCCAGGAGCTATCTGTTCCTCAGTTTGTGAGAGTCTTGACATACCTTGATGCCTGGCTTGGGTGACCCCTGACCTAACCTGACCCTGCCAGCCCAGAGCATCTCCTGAACCGGGTTCCTCACTCCTGGTCTCCCCCAGGACAAGCAGGAGGATGTGCTAAAAACAAGTCTTGAGGGGAACTTGACGCTGGAGAGGGTACAGCGGAACCAGAGCGGGACCTATGGCTGCAGGGTGGAGGACTACGACGCCCCCGAGGACGCGGAGCTCTCCAAAACCCTGGAGCTGCAAGTGGCCTGTGAGAGCCCCCAGAGTGGGAGGGGGGCCCTGGCATCAGCGATCTCCTCACCCTTGCCACCACCCCTCTACTGTCTCCAACCCTTTCTATGATGCCCAGCCTAATCTCAATGCCCCCGGCCCCTCCAGTCTCCCATACAAAGGCAGCCAGAGACCCCTTTCCAAGGCATACACCTGATCTTCTCCTGCCTAGAACCTGCGTAGCTCCCCAGTCCTCTGGGGACAAAACCCACATGCTTCACCCCAGCCTTCAAGACCCACTCGGCTGGCCTCCCCTTCGGCGGACCCCTCTCCCCATCACACCCCAAGCTCTTCTCTTTCCTACAGTAACTCCCCATCTTCTCTTCCATCCAATCCCAACCCACCTCTCGGGTCCCAGTCTTCCAAGAAGCCTTCTTGGTCCACCTGCACACAAGCCCTGAGCAGAGGCTCTGTCCCTCCTGGGCACTCCCGTTACCTCCCTTCCTCAGGCTAGACCCTGTGCCACAGGTGAACAAGACAGCGCAGCCCCAGCCTCCACCAAGCTCCAGGGTCCAGTAGGGTTGACAGATGTTAAACGCTGAACACACACTTTTTTTTTTTTTTGAACACACACTTTGAGTCGCAGTCCTGCCTCTATAGAGACTAACGCAGAGGAGTGGAATAAGGAACTGGTGCAGCGAGTAGGTATTATTTTCCATGGGGAGTGTTGGGGGCTGCAGATTCTGACTGCAGGCAGGAAATTTATGGGGAGTACCCCGGGATCCACACCTCTTGGTTGGGGGGGGGGGATGAGGGAAGGAAGCAGGATGCAACAAAGGTGGAAGTTGAGCTTCAGCCTAAGGAAGACCTCGACGTGCTCACAGGGCACTTAGAAGCTGAGAGATCCCCCGTTGGGGTTCAGGGGCCGGGACTTTTGTATGTCCACGTCAACCCGTCATTGGATGTGGGCTGCCTGGGGAAGGAGGAGACATGACCTTGAGCCAGGGGCTCTCTCTGTGGCTCAGGCAATTTCCAGAGCAGGCTGACAGCTGAGGGCTGACAGCTGACACCCTTCTCAACAGCTGGGGGAGGAAATCCTTTGGTGCCAAAGGGGAAATCTGAGTGTCCACGACAGAGGGTCAGAGAGACCTCTCTGAGAAGAACATGTGTAGGAAACCGAAGAATGGAACCAGAGATATGATGAGCCAGAAGAAAGGCATTCCAGGCTGCGGAAACAGCACATGCAAGGGCCCTGAGACCCACACTGGCATATTGGAGAACACCAGGGAAAGAACAGGGTAGCCAGAGCTCAGGGAACAGAGGGGAAGGTGGGAGATGAGGTTGAAGCAGTGGGCAGGGGCAGCCAGGCGGGACTTTTTGGCTTCATCAGGAAAGAGGCCTGTATGCCCACCGTACTGGGGAACCACTGCAGGGTTTTGTTTTGGTTTGTTTTTTTCTCCTCACTGCAAGATTTTAAGCAGAGGCAAGGGCTGACCAGTGTGTGTTTTGAAAAGATCCCTTGGGGGCCTTCCCTGGTGGTCCAGTGGATTACACTCCCCGCTCCCAGTGCAGGGGACCTGGGTTCAGTCCCTGGTTGGGGAACTAAGATTCCCACATACCATCACAAAGCCCCACGATGCAACTAGAGAAGCCTGGGCACTACCAAAAAAAAAAAGAGGAGTGGGCTGTTTTTTGTTTTTTTTTTAAAGAACCCAGCACAGCCAAAATTAAATACATTAAAAAAAAATTTTTTTTAAGTCAAACTTGGACACAACTGAGCAACTACACTTTCGCTATTTAAAAAAGAAAAGATCCCTCTGGCTGCTCAGTAAAGAACAGACCAGAGAGGACAAGAGTCCTGTCCAGTACAGAGACCAATGAGGACGTGACTATAGTGGTTAATGCAGTTGGACTCCAGGATCAGAGATGGAAAGAAGTGAGAAGATCCACTTGGGGGGCAGAGCAGAGAAAAACTTGCTGAAAAAAATGGGTCGTGCGGAGGAGAGAAGGCCAAGGTTTGAGGGATAGTCAGAGAAGGAGCGCCCAACACCTCCCAGGTTATCCATTAACCTTGGGTTCAGACGTCAGCTCTGGAGGCAGGTGGTCAAAGTGGGCCTGTATTTTGTTTTTTTTGTTGTTGTTTTAAGTGTTTATTTTATTTATTTAATTTGGCTACACCAGGTCTTCATTGCGGCATGTGGAGTCTAGTTCCCCAACCAGGGATCAAACCCGGGCCCCCTACATTGGGAGCACAAAGTCTTAGCCACTGGACCACCAGGAAAGCCCCATGGGCATGTGTTTTGGAGTCAGACTCCTAGATCTGGGCTCAAGGGCCCAGATGAGAGAGTGGAGAGCTCGTGGAGCTGGGGAGAAGTTGGCATTCTCTGCTGACAATTGTCCATTCACGTCTGCCCTCCTCAAAAGCCCTGGGGATCCCTTAACTGATCAGGCAAGGGTCTGGGGAAGGTGACACTCTGTTCCCCCCACTCCAGACCTGGACTCCCTGGAGCTCAGCACAGGGGAGGAGCTCTCCTTACCTCTAGGTAACAGCACAACCGCGACCTGCTCTGCGCGAGGCCTGCCCACCCCGACCCTATACTGGACCAAGGTGAGAGGGAAGGGCGTCCCTCCCCAGCACGGGACCCTCCCCTTGCCATCAACCCCTCCCTGTCTCTCATGCCCAGCCGGTGCCTGCTCTTTCTCTCCCCCCCAGGACTCAGCACCCATGGGAGAGGACCCCACACTCTCCCTCCACTCCGTCACCTTCGATTCCGCCGGCACCTACACGTGTGAGGCCTACATGCCCAGGATCCCCCTCCTGAGTCTCACCCGGAGCTTCAGGCTGCTGGTTCAAGGTTCGGGGTGCGGGCAGGCTGGGATGGGGACAGTATGGGGGGTGTGGGGGGCCAGGACAAATGAGATGGGTCCACGGCTGGTCCTTCTCTCCTCTTTTTCTCTCCCTCCTTTCCTTTCCCCAGATGCCTACTTCTCACCCCCTTTCCTGCCCCACCACCCACAGGGACACCAGAGTTAAAGGCAGAGGAGACTCAGCCCAAGGTCAAAGGCAGTTGGACCGAAGGAGATGAAGTCACCCTGATCTGCTATGCCCGTGGCTACCCGGAGCCCAAACTCAGCTGGAGCCAGTTGGGCGGCAGCGTAAGGCACCCTCCTCTGGCCCTCCCCAAACCCCAGCCCCCTCAACGGTCCACGAATTGTGTCCTCCCCACCCTCCACTTCCTTTTCACCTCTGCCCACGCCCCGAGCCCTTGATCCTGCAAGCCTGGGCCTGACCTGAGCCTCCACAGCCCACAGAACCGGCCCCCGGGGGCCAGGGCTGGGTGAGCAGCTCCCTCACCCTGAAGGTGACCAGTGCCTTGAGCCAAGACGGTGTCTCCTGTGAGGCCTCCAACCCTCTCGGGAACACCCAGCATGTCTTCCACTTTGGAACCGGTGAGTAAACGCCGGGGTGGAACCAACACTAGGTGCGGGGTCAGACAGAGGGCTGCTGGCTGACCCCTCCCCCTCCGCCTTGCCCCGCAGTGGCCGCCCAGACCTCCCAGGCCGGCGTGGCGGTCATGGCCGTGGCCATCAGCGTGGCCCTCCTGCTCCTAGTCGTTGCCGTCTTCTACTGCATGAGACGCAAGGGGCGGCCCTGCTGCTGCCGGCGGGGCGAGAAGAGGTCTCCGTGAGTGGCCTGCGACCTTGAAACTGACCTCTCTACCCCAACCCTGACCTCACCCCCAACCTCAGCCCCAAACCAACCACAGCCCCAACCCCAACTCCATCGGCAAATGCCATCCCATCTCCAACCTCCGACCTGGGCCATGACTGTCCCCTCCCCTCTCCTCAACCCCACCCAACCCATAACCAACTCCCAGCCCACCCCAAGTTCAGCTAACCCCGTCCCCAATCTTATCCCTACCTGTGATCCACACCCACCCCAATCCCAAAGTAACCTCATCTATACCTCCAGTTTCCTCTCCAACGCCAACCTCTCCCCCAGCCGCACCCTCAGCTCTAGGGCATATCCAGTAACCAAACACAGCTTCAACCACCTCCCCATCCCAAGCCCCCCTGCACAACGCCCCATCCCATTCCTAACTCCAAACCCATCCCCATCCAACCTTATCTCCAACCGCGACCACACGGCCACCCTCAACTCCAGTCCAGAGCCATCCCCACGTGCATGCGTACTAAGTCGCCTCAGTCGTGTCCAACTCTTTGCGACCCCATAGATCATATAGCCCATCAGGCTCCTCTGCCCATGGGATTCTCCAGCCAAGAATACTGGAGTGGGTTGCCATGCCTTCCTCCAGAGCATCTTTCCAACCCAGGGGTTGAACCTGCACTGCACTGAGCCACCAGGGAAGCCCAGCCATCCCCACAGCCCTCCCCAAAATCCATCCCAGTGACATCACCAGCTCCAGCTCCAAGAGCAGCGTCAAGCATGTCCTCACCCCATCCCTGACCCCAGGGCCACTTCCACCTCCTACCCCACCCCCAGGTCATTCCCACCCACCCATCCCCAAGTCTACCCCCATCTGACACACCCATGGCCAGTTCCTTCCTTGGCCATGACCACCTCCAACACATTGCCTCCTCCCACTAGGCCACCTGGGGACCCCAAACTGAGCCACTCAGGATCAGAGCAGCCGGAGCAGACGGGCCTTCTCAAGGGGAGTGCCTCTGGAGGAGCCAAGCATGGAAGTGGGGGCTTTGGAGATGAGGTGAGTGAGGGCCTGGGCCCCTGGGGAGAGGGAACCACTGCGGGTGGAAGAAACGCTGTGGGCCCAGGCTGATCTCCCCATCTTCTCCCCAGTGTTGAGCCTGAGGACCTTCCCAGAGGCACTCATTGAACCTGCCCCGGAGTCGCGAGCATCAGAAAGCCAGCCCCGCTCACGCCTCCGCCTGCCCCCACCTTCCCGGCCTTCCCTCTTCCCTCTCTGGACCCTCCCTTCCTTCCTCTGCGGGCTGGGCAGGGATCATAGCAGCCTGGGAGGGAGGGGACCTTCCTCCAGGGATTGTGACTCTCCCAGGCCCCAGAATAGCTCCTGGACCTGAGCCCAAGTCCTGGCCTGGGACGAGGCTGGAGGGTCGGCTGGCTGGGGCTATTTTTACCTCCTGCCTCCATTGCTGGTCCCCCGCCTCCCACCTGACGTCCTGCTGCAGAGTCTGACACTGGATCCCCGCCCCCTGCCCTGACCCCATCATCTGTGGACACTGGAGTCTGGAATAAATGCTGTCACCTAGACACCATCCTGTGGCCAGAGCCGCCTCCTCTAGGGGATGAGAGGGGAAGAGGGGTGCAGGTGATGCTCTGGCCCTCCTGGCTCTCCCACCCCCCTTGCTGGACCTCAGGAAAAATCTGATGTCATGGAGAAAGAAATGAGAGAGAGAGGATGGAGGGTGACTCAGCTGGAAAAATGAGGAGAAGAGAGGTGCTGGGGGTCCACAGGGAGCTGAACCTGGCCCCTGAAGACCAGTGTCTTTGGGGGGAGGTGGGGTGCTGTCCCCTTAAATAAAAAATGCCCAGTCTCTCTTGCCAGAGGCCCAGAGGGAATTGAAGCGTCCAGAGGAAAAGCTCTCTCTGAGCTGTACAGTGGATGGAATTAGGGATTTAGGCATCTCCTCTGAGGACAGCCTGGGGCCTGAAGCTGGGGGGGTGGGGGGCGGCGGGGTGGGGGGGCAACTTGGAGGAACCCCCATGAAGGGATCTAGGCAGAGAGAAGAGACGGCAGAAACAGCAAAACAGAGACTTACCGCAGCGGAGGGAGAGGCATTTGGAAGGAGGACGGAGAGCCTAAGGGGGAGGTCAGAGGGATGGGCTGGAGTTGCTCGGAATAGAGAGAGAGCCACTGAGTCAGACATAGATGTGGGGAGAGAGGCAAAGACAGACAAATAGAGACATGTCCTGGATCTATTTACTGTGCGGTTCCAGACCACAACAATAAAGCGAAGATCAAAATAAAGCAAGTCACACGAATTTTTTGGTTTTCCAGTGCATATATTACATTTACACTGTACTGTAGTAAGTACGCAATAACATTCTGCCTGGGGGGGAAGAAAAAAAGCACATAGCTTAACTTAAGAAACACTTTCAAAAACAAAACACTTTCTTGTTAAAAATGGTAACCATCGTCTGAGCCTTCTGTGAGTCATAGTGGTCACATCAAAGGTCACTCATCAGTGACCATAACAAACAGAAGAACAATGAAAAACCTTGAAATATTGCAAGAATTACAAATGTGACACAAAGATACAAAGCAAGCAAAGGTTGTCGGGAAAATGGCACCAATAGACACAGGGTTGCCACAAACCTGTAATTTATTTAAAAAAAAAAAAAAAGCAGTATCTGTGGAGAACAATAAAGTAATGTGCCATAAAGAGAGGAAGGGCTGCATAGACAGACAGAAACACAGAAAGAAGTGGGATTCAGAGAGATCATTCCAGTTAGAAAGGGAGGGGAAAAAAAAGTTTCAAAAGAGCAGCTCAGAAGCAGTGGGAGGCAGACAAGTGTGACCTTGGGCAAGTGACTTCACCTCCCTGAGTCCATCGAATAGAGAGAAACCACACTTGGGCCGTGGACGGCCACTGTGAGGAGAGAGAGCAAGTATCCCTGTGCAATGCATGCTGGAGGTCTCTGCCGGTGACCCCACCCCTGGCCTCAGTTTACTCAGCCACCAGATGGACCACGTGGGATCTGTGGCCGTGGGGAGTTGAAGAGATGCTATGGGAGCCTCCTCGTAGGCAACTGAGCAAATGCTCAGAGATTTCCAGAACGGAAGAGCTCACACTGGCCGAATTAAGGTGCTCAAATCCCATGATTTATTAAGTCAGATTAATACAAACAGGGGGGACTTCCCTGGTGGTCCCGTGGTTAAGACTCTGCCTTCCAATGCAGGGGTCAGGGTTCAATCCTTGGTTGGGGAACTAAGATTCCCCTCGGGTGCGGCCAAAAGATTAAAAATAAATAAATGTATAAATAAAACACATGGGAGAAAGAAGAGAGATGGGGCAGGTTAACACACTGAGATGGGGAACAAACGATCAAAGTCCTGCCGCCTGAGTTTGGCGGTTCTCGGGGCTCTATTGTCCTCGCCGCATGGTCTCCACGCCCAGAGTCGAGGGGGAGCAGGGAGGATCCACGCCCGGAAGTTGCCAGGCCGCGTGAGGGCAAATGCATTCAGCCACACCTACCTGCAGGTGGAGGAAAACAAGCTTGCTGGCCATGGCTCCCGCCTGCATGACGTGAGCGCGGGACTCACCCAGCAGAGCGAGAGTCCCCAAGAGTCACCCAAGCACTCTCGGATAAGTGAAACGAAAGTGTCAGTCAGTCGTATCTGACTCTTTGCAACCTCACGGACTGTAGCCCGCCAGACTCCTCTGTTCATGGGATTCTCCAGGCAAGAATTCTGGAGTAGGTAGCCATTCCCTTCTCCAGGGAATCTTTCCGACCTAGGCATTGAACCGGGTCTCTTGCATTGCTCAGATGGGTTTCTTTACCGTCTGAGCCACCAGGGAAACCCCAGGACTCTCGGATACTTGAGGCTGAATCAATCTTTCCATCCTTCCCGTGGATGTTCAGCTCACATTTTTTTTTTAATCAAAGTATAGTTGATTTACAATGTTGTGTTAGTTTCCGACGTACAGCACAGTGATTCAGTTTTACATATATAGACAGCCTTTTTCGTATTCTTTTCCATTAGGATTTATCACAGAATATTGAATAGAGTTCCCTGTGTTATACAGTAGGACCTTGTTGTTTATCCATCATATATATAATAGTTTGCATCTGCTACCCCAAACTCCCAATCCTTCCCTCCCCCACCCAGAATGGAATATTCCTTTTGAAAAATCCAGCAGACACGCAGAGAAATCATGGACTGGTTGGGAGAATTTGATAACTGTGAAAGGTGTTTGGTGCAAAGCCTGGCACAGAGCATGTGTTCAGTATGTGTTTAGTATTATTATTATCATTCATGGAAAATGGAGAGACAGAAAGAAAAGCAAGAAAGGACCCAGGTGGAGAGATACCACATTAAGGGCAGATATTGGTGAGGGGGGATCTGGGGAGCTGGAGGGGGAGGGAACAGATGGCTGGGGGAGGGGAGAGAGGGAACCCCAGGGAGAAAGAGATGCTCCACCCAGCACCTGGTCCCCAAATTAATGGGGGGAGGGTCTTGGCCTGCCTCCCAAGGGGGCATACATTTGCATAGGATCCCTCATCTGCATGGCATTCCAGGCAATTTGCATACAGATGGCAGCCTGTGCCCTCCTTAGTCTGATCCCTCCTCCCACCTTGGCCAAGGGTCTGGGGGAAGGGGCAGCAGGTGTGGGTGGGTGATGAACCACCATGATCTGGGGCTCCGGGAAGTAAAGGCAAGTTCGGAGTAGACTCCCCTTGCTCCTCAACCTTCCATGGCTCCCTATTGCTCTCAGGACTGTGAGTCACCCTTCACTGGGCATTCAGGACCTGCTAAGATGTCACCCACACACATACCCACTGCTCCTCTCTCACATCTTGTGCCTTTGTGAATTTACTATTCTCCCACCTGGAATGTCCTCTCTCATTTCCCCCACGGTAACAAAGCTTGCCTCTCCTTCAAAGCCAGGATATCTTTCAGAATTCTGAAAAGTTTTCCCTAGCGGTGCAGACAGTAAAGAATCTGCCTGCAGTGCAGGAGATCTGGGTTTGTCCCTGAGTCCGGAAGATCCCCTGAAGAAGGAAATAGCAACCCACTCCAGTGTTCTTGCCTGGGATATCCCACGGACAGAGAAGCCTGGCAGGCTACAATCGATGGGGCTGCAAAGAGTCAGACACAACTGAACAACTAACAATACTCTTGTCCTTGGAACTTTACTGGAATTTGTGCCACCTCTGGACTCATACAGATTTTATTAGTAAAGATGTGTTTTGTTGCAAATGACAAAAAAAAAAAAAAAAAAAACGAAGTAAAAAAGTTGTGTAAATGAAAAGGGAAAATTATTCATTCATATAACCAGGAAGGTCAAAGACTGACTACTTTCAGGCATAGCTGGATCCAGGGGCTCAAAGAATCTCATCAGAAAGCTGGCCTGGACAGCTCTGCTGTCCTCCATGCACAGGCAGTTTGTTCTGTCTCCGGAAGCACCCAGAGTACCAGTGTTCTACCAGTTTAGCAACCCTCATCAAAAGAGGGTGTCCCTTTCCTATTAGTTCGAGCAGACATCTCAGGGCTAATTCTCATTGGTCAAGAATGAGTCCCACCCCCATCCCTGAACCAATCCCTGTGGCCAGGGGACCCAATGCTCTGATTGGGCAGGACTGGGCCAGGCTCACTCCGAACCATAAGGGCTTAGTATGGAAGAGGTTTTGCTGTTGTTCAGTCACTCATTCGTGTCCAACTCTTTTCAACCCCATGGACTACAGCACCCTAGGCTTCCCTATCCTTCACTATCTCCTGGAGTTTGCTCAAACTCATGTCCATTGAGTCCATGATGCCATCCAACCATATCGTTCTCTGTTGCCCCCTTTTCCTCTTGCTTTCAATCTTTCCCAGCATCAGGGTCTTTTCCAATGAGTCGGCCCTTAGCATAAGGTAGCCAAAGTATTGGAGCTTCAGCTTCAGCATCAATCCTTCCAATGAATATTCAGGGTTGGTTACCTTTAATGGACTTCCCTGTTGGCACTAGTGGTAAAAACAACAACAACAAAACCACCTGCTTGCCAATGCAGCAGACAACAAGAGATGCAGGTTCAAAACCTGGGTTGGGAAGATGCCCTAGAAGAGGGCTTGGCAACCCACTCCAGTATTCTTGCCTGGAGAATCCCATGGACAGAGGAGCCTGGCAGGCTCCAGTCCATAGGGTCACAAAGAGTCGGACACAATTGAAGCAACTTAGCACACATTTCCTTTAGGATTAACTGGTTACAGGGCAGGTAAAATATAATACTTGGCACCAACTCCCTAGCTCCATCAGGAAGCCTTTGGCTCTGTGCCCCCACCTCCTGGTGGGTATGACTCTTCAGTGAAGTGTCACCTCTGAGACTCCTTGATGCTGGAAGTCAACTCCCCAGGTATGAGACTCACCCAGTCATCTGTCAACAAACACACAATGTAGTGCTCAACCTTATCCAAGTCCCCTTAAGCATGTGACTAGGGGCATGAAATTCCAGCCTACTGGGGCTTACCTCCTGGGCTCACCCCAGCTCACAAAGAAGAGCCAGGAGACAGTTGAGCACACTCCTTGACAGGCTTGGAGAAGAGTGGGTGCTAAGGGGAGGGACCTTCCTAGAGAAACTCTCCCTGGGGACTGGTTATTTTGTCCAAGGGAGGAATGGGAGAAGGGAATTTCAGAATTTCACAAAGCAAATCAGTAGCAAAGTTGGCACTAACCCCAGAGATCCTGGCTCTCTAGTCTGGCCCCAGATTGGGGAGAGAAGGACAGAGAGTTCTAGAGAGAATTTACTACGCACCTACAGTCATTCTCCTTTATCTAGGACCCCAGTGGATGTGTGGATTATACTGAACCTTACATACACAGTGTTTTTTTGTTCCTATATACACATTCCTGTGACAAACTTTCATCTATAAATGAAGCACAGCAAGAGAATATCCAAATTGCCAGCATCACCACTCTTGTGCTTTGGGGCCATTATTAAATAAAATGAGCGTTATTTGGACATCAGCCCCGTGACACCACTGCAGTCCATCTGATAATGGAACTGGCTACTAAGTGACTCAGGCAGGTAGTGTATAAGCACTGGACAGAGGGATGATTTATGTTTAGGGCCCGAGACTTCATCATGCCTCTCAGAATGGTTAAAAACCAATGAATTTTTATTTCTGGAATTTTCCATTTGATATTTTTGGACTGGGGTTGACGCGGGGTAACTGAAACTGCAGATGGGGGGGGGGGGTGACGACTGTATTTGTCCAGCTGACTGCATGCCAGGCTGAGAGACACACCATGGGGAGGTCCTAGCCTGCTACTTCCTTGCTGGGAGGCATGGGGGCAGAGAATCACTCTATGCTCTATGTGCTTTTCAGCAAGATGGGGATCGTGAAATCTCCCTTCATGAGATTTTTGTGTGGAATTAACTGACAAGTGGGCATCTCTGGTGGCTCAGCTGGTAAAGAATCTGCCTGCAATGCAGGAAACCTGTGTTCGACTCCTGGGTTGGGAAGATACCCTGGAGAAGGAAATAGCAACCCACTCCAGTATCCTTGCCTGGAGGATCCCATTGTCAGAGGAGCCTGGCAGGCTACAGTCCATGGGGTCGCAAGAGTCGGACATGACTTAGTGACTAAACCACCATCAACTGACAAGTAGCCAGCTCTTTGACTTTGGATCCAGTCATTTCTTTCTTTGTGCCTCAGTTTCCTCATCACATAGGGTGCTGTGGGGGGTTATTTGAGATAATACAGTGCACTTGGATTAGCGCCTGGCACATAGTCAGTGCTAAATACATTTATTAATAGTATTATTACCAAGATGTGAATGCCAGTCAGTAAGAGTCTCCACTACTTAAGATCTTGCACTTCTGGGTAGGAAAACTCAGGTGTATGGCAGGCGGAAAGGGAGGGCAAGTCTATGGGGGTCCTCTTGATAGGGCACGAAGCATCAGCCCCCAGCTGATCGGCTCCTTTTCCGAGGAACTGGAACCAAGGGATTTCAAGTGCTCAGTGGCATCTTCTCCCTCAGCCTCCTGCCTGCCGCCCTCGTCCCTACACGCAGGGCGGCCTCACCAGCTCCCCCAGGCAGTGCAAGGAATGTGAAGAGGTAGGTGGGGGAGGGGAGGAGCGGGAGCCGCCGGGGAGGGACAAAGGGGCCGAGTCAGAGCGAGAGACACAAAGACGCGAGGAGGTTGGGAAGATAGGAGAAGTGGGACAAGGACACGGGGAGGGACTAGTCAAGTCTGGAGGCCCGACCGTAGCCCAACCCCGCAGGGCCAGCCGACCGCTGGGAGCGGTCTGTGCTGCCCCCTGGCGGAAGGCCGCAGTAAGGAGATGGTGCGGACCAGATGCAGGAAGAGAGGGCTGCGGGATGGAGAGAAGTCAAGAGAGACGCAGAGAGAAACCAGAGGCACCGAAAGAGACACAGAAAAGCGCCGAGAAACACAGGGACAGAGAAAGACACAGAGATAGAAACCCAAAGAGTGGCGGGGTAGAGACAGACACAGATGCAGGGAGCGAGAGAACCAGAGTCTAAGCAGTGAAAAAGACAAGAGCCAAGTGACACAGAAACAGCGATAGAAAGAGACCAGGAACACAAAGCGACGCTGAAACGTGGAAACCGAAAGACCCAGAGATAAACACAGGGACGGAAAAAGAGGCAGAGAGACTCACAGAAACACTAAAAGACAGGAATCTAAAAAACACGACGCGGCGACTCCCAAAGTCTCACGCAGAGATTAGAAAGAGATGAGGATAGGCTGAAACGCGGACAGACCTGACAAGACAGCGTGGGGCGAGAACTGGGGAAGACGCTAGGCGGAGAAGGGGGTGGAGTCTCAGCGTGTGGGCGGGGCTCCAGAGGGGCGGGTCTATAGGAAACCACGTGCCTCACGCATGTGTGTCCAGATGGCCCTATCCAATACTGAAGGGGGCGGGGCCATGGCATAGGCAAACCGAACTCCTGAGCGGCGGGACAGACTACGGGGAGTGCGAATGGGCAGGGCCATGCCTGGGGGCGGGACTTCGTGGAAGCTAGATGTTCGGAAGCGCTGTACTTGCCCCTTTAGGCAGGGGGCGGGGCTCGAGAGCAATTTAGGTGTGAAGGGGCGTGGCTAGAGCACTAAGGGGCGGGGTTTGCCTGGAGAGGGCAAAGAGAGAATTATGGGGCACGGGGGCCGGCGATCAGAGAGTCCTGGGAGGGACGAACTTAGAATCCTGGGGAGCAGCGGGTGTAAAATCCTGGGAAGGGGAGGGAGAGGAATGCTGGGGGGGCGGGGCGAGAGTAGAATCCTGGGCAGAGGCAGGGGTGGAATCCCAGGAGGGGGCGGGGTCAGACCTGCCTGAGGGGGCGTGGCCGGAGCCAGAACTGCTCAGAGAGGAGGGGAAGAAGGGGGTGGGTCCTGTGACGTCAGTCCGAAGCCAGAAAGAGTCTAAGGGCCAGGGTCGCTGAGCTGGAGAACCGGACCTCGACAGCAGAGCCGAGAAATCGAGCGCCGCGGGAACCGGCCGGGAGCCGAAGCCACTCCGGCACCTACTCGTCTGCCCAGTCGATTGGCGCACGCAGAGTGGCCCTCAGGCCCCTGCCCGGGCCCAGTCCCTCCCCGGGCCCCCCATGGCCCGGGCCGCAGCCCTCCGGCCGTTGAGATTGTCGCCTCCGACGCTGCCGCTACTGCCGTTGCTGCTGCTCCTGCTCCGGGAAACCGGTGAGAGAACGCAGACGCCTCCCCGCCGCGCGCGAAACCATCCTTTTCCCTACCCCCAGCAGGAGGGTCGCGATGATAAGGCGACTACCCCATCTTTCCTTCTCTCAGAGTTGGGAGTCTGAGGCCCGGGGAGAATTGAGGGCAGGGAGCCAGATGTCCTCAGAGGGGCGGGCGGGGAGCTCGGACTTTGGGCCCCTTACAGGGCCAAGAATGATAATTCGGACGACCTGGGGAAGGGCTTGAGGGCTCCAACCCCGGGCCCCAGGGTGCTGAAGGCTCTGACTCCTGGGCCCGGAAAAAAGGAACTCCTGGGCCCCAGAAAAATTAGGGGCTGAGGGCTCTATCTCTTTGGTCCCAAGGATAATGAAGGCTAGGGTCTCCGTCTACCGGGGTCCTGGTAGAATTGGGGTCAGGAAGGGCTCGAACTTGTGGGTTCCAGATTGTGAACAGGGTTCTCTGTCTCTAGGGTCCCAGACAGAACTGGGGGGGTGGGGGGGAGGAGGCCAAAAGGCCCTGTCTCCTGGGCTCCAGATTTAATTGTGGGCATTGGAATGTCCTGGAATTCAGATATAAATGTGGGCAGGAACCCTGTCTCTTGGGTTCTAGTTCTAATGAAGAGCCAGAGGCCCTGTCTGAAAGCTGGAGGCCCGGTTGGCCAGTGTCCCGCGTAGACTAAGGAGGGTGGGACCTTTCCCGTTCCTTGTGAGCGACCGGTGGGGACATCCCTGGGGAAGTTTTCCGGGTTTCACTTTCGTCGAGCCGGGGCAGGACGGGGGCGGGAGCTCTCCAGGCTCCCTGTTCCGGATTCCCGGTTTCGGGACTTTATCTCTCACGTTGCGCCTTTGTCCTCAGAGCCGCAGCGGGAGGTGGACGTGAGGCGACGCCGCCCTAATCCTCTGTCTCTCCCTCCGCTTGGCCCACTTCCCCGCCCCCCTCCCTGACTCCTGTTTCCCCCACCTCCCCAGGGGAGGGGTGCATCCGCCGGAGAGGGAGAGGCTGCGAGGAAACAGGTGAGGGAGGCTCTGGCCCTGCCCCTTTGCAGGTGACCCGGCTGTTTATTCCCAGGTAGAAACTCATGATACTAGAGATTCACAAACGTTCGCCAGAAAGTGCGAGGGAGCTCAGGGGAGCCCTAGGTCTTTTTTTCCCCAGCGTGTTTCTGAATGGTCTCCCAGTTTTGACCCAGAGCGGGGGCACTGACTTTTCCTTCCGCCTGTCTCTCCCTCTGCGTCAGAAATAAGTGAGATAAAATCAGAACCTGCCACCTCTGGCAGAATGCTCAGAATCCACCCCGCCTTGGGCCAGGCGTTGACTTGGTGCGTGATCTCGCAGAAGGCTCTCGATCACCCTATGGGACAGGTCCAGTTCCTGTTCCCATTAGACAGATGAGGAAACAAAGGCTTAGAAAGGACAAGCCACTTTCCCAGCATCCTCAGCCAATTTGCAGACTTCAGAGCCTTTCTTGGCTCTACCGCACCTGGTGGGCTCCAGAAAGTGCCTCTGAGCCTCCTTTTCTTTGGAAAACTGAGATAACAATTCCATCCCAGCAGGGACACTGGGGTGAGGGGGAGGTTCAGAGACCCCACTGATCCCAGAGGAAATTCTTAGCACCTGAGGAGGAGAGCTTCCCTCTTCCCCACACTCCATCCCTGTGCCTTTGTGCCCTGCTGTCTCTCATCTCTGCCTCTTTCCTTCCCTTCCTCTTCTTCTCTGTCTCTCCCTCCCCTCCTTCCCTCACTTTCTCTCCCCCTCTTCCTCTCTCCATTTCTCCCCCTCTCCCTTCTGCTCCTCTGACTCTCTAATCTCTCTCCAAGCTCTTTCCTCCTTTCTCACCCTCTCTCTCTCTCTCTCTCTCTCCTGTCCATCCTTCTCTGTTTCCCTGTCCCTGGCTCCTCTGACTTCCCCCTCCTTGGCCTCCGAGGAATGAAGGTGCACCACCTGGGCTTTCTGCTGGGCCGGCTCCCCTCCCCAGTCCTCCCGGGCTTTCACTGCTCATCCATGTCAGCCAGGCAGCCCCATGTAGCGGAGGGGGATGGGAGGAGAGGGGACTGCCGGCCTGCTGTCTCTTCTCATTAGGGGAGGAGAACTGGACAGGGGAGAAGTAGGGGTGGGTCTGCTCACATCCTGGGGGGGAGCAGAGGGGCAAGAGGAATTCAGGGAGAGGCTGGAGATACACGGATGGGGACAGAAGCCAATAGAGGGAGGGTGTCAAACAAATTTAGGGACGGGGTCAGAGACACAGGTAGAAATGGAACGGAGAGATGGGGGGATGAAATTCAGCCACAAGGATGGGGCAGAGAAAGTGGGGGGCAGGGGAAAGGGAGCTGGAAAGACATCTCGATAAAGGCAGGAACAGCATGAAGAGACAGAGGTTTTGTGACAGTTGGGTGGGGGCCCAAAAGACCCCAGCCAGTCAGTGATGGTGATGCCATGACCCAAGGAGGTCAGGGCACAGGCCAACCTCAAGGCCAGCAGTGTGTGGGGGCCACAGGGAGTGATGGACATGGGAGGGACAGGGAGCTGGGCAGGCTGGCTAGCTCCCCCGCCCCCACCAGGGACGCTGTTACATTTTTAATGTCCAAGCAATGCTGAGAAATGGAGCAAGAGGAGGAGGAGAAAAGGGGACCCAGCAAGATGGCCCAGCGAAAAGAAAGTATGTCAGGGGTGTGGTGAAACATGCAGAGATGGGGAGACCCAGGAGGCAGAGGGTCAGAGCCACGGAGAAACAGAGATCCTGAGAGAGAGACCAGAAACCTGGAGAGACTAGAGACCCCAGGAATCGGTGCTGGGAGCCAGATCCCAGAGACGAGGAGACCCCCAGACCCAAAAGATCCAGACCTCAGATGTCGGAGTACAGAAGAAAGAGAATATGAGAACAGGTAGGGTCTCTTGGGCCTGGTGAAAATAATCTGAAATTGATTGTGGTCATGGAGGCACAAATCTATGAATTTACTAAAAGTCATTGAACTAGACACTTTAAATGGGCAAATCATATGGTATGGTAATTGTATCTAAATAAAACTTTTAGAGAGAGAGAGACGGACAGACAGAGAGAGCAGAGACTGGGGACTCCTGGGGGACACAGAGGGGCAGACTGGGAATCCTAAGAACCAGAGACGGAGACACAAGAGATCAAAGAGACAGCACCTTTGAGAGGAGGGCCAGAGTCTCAGAGACAGAAGTGTTTTTGTATAAACTCGGCCTGGGCAGAACGGTGGGGGTGGGGTTCTGTCTGAGGGGCTCAGCCAGGGAGAACAGTCCTAGATATTCACCCCCAAAAGGATCAGAGCCCACAGGGGAGACCTTCAGTAGGGGTGGAGTCCCTGCAGAAAGGCAGAAAATCACAGACCAGAGAGGGGAGTGACGCCCATCACCCGGGCTGAGTAATGTCCACCGTCAGAGAGGGGCTGGGGGAGGCAGGTGAAGATATGCAGACCCAGACGGACAGCCTGATATCTTGGCTGCTTCTGCTCAACAACAACCCCCCACCCCGCCACAACCAAGCCGGCTCCTGGGTGTCCGCTGTGGGGGTGGGCACCATGATTAACGCAATTAATTAATTAAGGAGGTAGCTGAGGCAGCAGCTGAGGCCAGCACTCCAAGCACGCTGGCCTTCAAGGGCCAACTGGCATCCGCCACACCCTGTGGTCAGAAGTCAGGTCACGATAACTTGTAGGTCTGGAGAGGGTGAGCCAAGCCAGGAGGAGCCAGGCAGGCAGGAACCCAGGAGTCCGGGCCCCCAGCCCCTTCCTCTCGGCCCTGATTTCCCCTCCCCAGATCTCAGGGTCTCAGGCTCTGGGTCTCTGTCTCCCTACCCGCCCAAAGGATTCCCCTGGGCTCACACAATGCCCTGGGCTGCACCTGCCCTGCCACCACAGGAAGCCTGGCATGCCAGGCCACAGGCAGGGGAAGTGTGTCTGGGGACCCAGCTGACACCGCATGAAGCTGTCACCAGCCTGACTGGCCGAGGAAAGCTGAGGGTGGCTGGTGTTCCCACGGGCACACCCTCCCTCACTGTGCTGCTGACGATGTTCTGGCCAAGGTCAGGGCACAGGCTCCCGCCCAGAAGTGTCCTGGACACTAGGGTCTGAACTCCAGGCCAACCTTCCTCCTGGCTTCATTTCTCCTGCCTCTGCCTGAAACGCAAAACATCTGGGCATCAGCCAATACACCTCGTTCCTCTCACCACCCACCGCTGCCCCACAGCTGGTCAGCCTCCGTGTCCTAACCATTCCAACTTCTGAATGTGTTTCCAATTCAGTTTATCCTCCATCCCCACTGCCCTGACCCCTGAAGCCTGGCCCCAGTCCATTCTGAGGGTTCTTTCTAAAGCACAAATCTAACCCTGTCCCTCCCCCTGCCTATAACTCTCTACGGCTCCCTAGTGCCCCTAAGAAAAAGCCCAAACTCTAACTCAGCCTCAGCCTCTGTCATCTGATGCACTGTTACTTCCCCATCTCCACCTCGTTCTTTCACTCAACACATTTCTGGAGCTCTTACAGTATGCCAGGTACTCTTCTAAGCTCTGGGAATATAGCAGGAACCAAGGCTCAGACAGTAGAGGATCTGCCTGCCAATGCAGGGGACCCGGGTTTGATCCCTGGGTCAGGAAGATCCCCTGGAAAAGGGAATGGCTACCCACTCCAGTATTCTTGCCCAGAGAATTCCATGGACAGAGGAGCCTGGCAGGCTACAGTCCATGGGATTGCAAAGAGTCAGACATGACTGAGGGACTAACACTTTCAAGACAAAGATCCCTGCCCCCAGAACTAATGTTCTAGCAGGGAAAAGACATCAGGTGCAATGAGGAAAATGAAGCCATGTCGAGGGAATTTCTGTTCTCATCATTGGAGTGGTCAGGGAACGCCCCAGAGCAAAGATCTGAAGGGAGTGAGGGAGGGGGAAGTATTCCAGGATGCGAGAACATCAAGTGCAAAGGCCCTGAGGTGGGACTTGCCTGGCATGTCTGAGAAGTGGTGAGGAGGATGGCATGTCTGGAG